GTTTAGAGTAATAGATGAAGCATAGACAATTTATGTTGTTGATAAGGGAGTCTTTCAACGTAGAGAATCATATGCGACAGTGGACCGAAAACTATATTTCATTAAACAAAATCTTTACGAGTTGGTAGAACCCATTTCTGATGATTCTCTATAAGTGAACAATATACGCATAAGTAATCAACCTCCTTAACTTCCTTAAATTGCCTAAAAATGGTTATGAACTTAGTGTCCAAGCATTTCTCAAAAACTAGACTATTGAGCAACAGGATCTTCTAATAAAAGAAATGTTCTCTATATGTTTTCGCTTTTGGATACCTGAATACTCTAATTGTATTATATTATATATTCCATTTTCTTCTTCTCTATATGTTTTATCTTTTATAACTCTTCTATAGAACAAAAAGGAGAAGAAACCCTGCATCGATTACTTCTACTCGCTTAAGAATGTCTCTTTCTGCGCATTTCATCCGCGCGATCATCGCTTCATTGGGTTCATCACAAAGCATCCCACAGTGCAGCGATTCGCCTGTCACGTCTTCAAGGGCTCCGAGTCCACAAGGCCAGTGGCCGAGGCAGTTGGGTAAGCATCCAGCCACACACACACACACAATGATAACTCCATCAATTCATCTCATTTATACAATCCTCTCCTCTCTCTTCCAGTCGCGCCTTTCAGCGTTTCTATCAGAAGTTTATTGAAACCGCTTATCCCATCGAGGACATTTACATTGAGTAAAGAGCGCAATACTTTAAAGGAAAAACAAATAAAAAGAACAAATATACCATGCAAAATATATATCTCTATATTTTTTGTGTGATTATTAATAAATACAACAACAACAACAACAAAAATGGACAACAATTTTTGGTCTTCGTCGAAAAGCTACAAAAATACACAAAGTGAAAGAAAATTCCCAAAAATTATTCCAAATACAAAATCATGCAATAAAAATCAATTTAAAATAAAAATAAAAAAGCAAAAATCTTAAGCTCATATTTGACAGTTCTATTTAAACTATAGTAATATTTGTTAACGAAATTTTTCTCAAAGTGTAAATAGTTCATTTCGGTTCGTAAAGCCCACAAAGAACACAGCGATTAGACAATTTAAGTGTAACTTATAGAGAAACGCTATAATCCACAAAAACAAAGAATGAAAAACAAAAAGAAAACATATTTCGGAATAAATATATATACGATATATGCACAAACCAGATGATAGATAAGCTGCACTCTTAAAACTTTGAAATCAAATGGAGCTGGTTGTAAAACAATAATATACCAGACTTTACACTCAGAGAAAAAATACTAAATAAATGAAGCCGAAGAAGGAGCAGATTTAAGTTTGCACTTCACTCTTTTTACGGAAATATTTATATTATAAAATTGACAAGAATTAATTATTAATTTAAAAAGAAATACTTTAAGATATTTTCTACTTCCATTTAGTATTTTTGAATGCTTAGTTTAAGTATAAAAGCTATGAAATTAAGATATTTTTAATTTTGCTACAATAATTTAACTTATTAATTTTGAAAAAATTCCTAACTTAATTTATAATAATTGCAACAACAAATATCGCAAGTGCAGTCGTTTTTTCTCTGAGTGTACAGACTGTGTGTGTGGCCAAAGTAGCAATAAGCCTTGAGATTTTCGAATAGAACTTTCATCTGGCTTTTGTGCAGACGCTTTTTTGAAAAATAAGAAAAGAAAAAACAAATACATTCAAATATCAGATTCTAATTTCTTATAAACAAGGCTCACTCCACACGCAAATTTTCTAGTATTATAACGAAAAACAAAACCCAAAAACTCTAAGATGTGTAAAACAATTATATATATTTAAAGAGATGAATATATATGTACTTATACAGAAAACAAAAGGAAATATATATCTATACAAAAAAAAATTGTAATGATTTTATATCATTATGGAAAGTACTGTGGGAGGTAAGTAAAAGACTTTTGTTTTTAATAATTTATGTATAATTTCTTCTATATTTTCATATTTATAATACAACTTAGCTTTACTAGTTGGTTGGTTTTAATTCTTTCATATTTTTACAGCATTATCTTGTTTCCGTATTTTACATATACTATATCGAAGTTTTGTTTAGAAATCATGTTCATAATTATTTAACATACAAAAAAGTTGATTTATGTATATATATACATATAGATCTGTATATATATATTCTGTAGTATGTTACACAATACTTATATATTTGGATTTACTAGGCATGTGCTTAGATTGTTCGTTTTATATACTTATATAACACCTACCCATCGTTAAATCTACATATCGATCTTTAGTTCCTGACACTATACTAGCACTATAGATTTCCCTATGTAGCCCTACGTACTTACGAACTAACTGTTGTCATCTGCTCAACACCTATATCATATCAATAATAATAATTAATAATAAAAATTGATATGAAGAATTTATATCAATAATTACTCCATATTCGCTTTACTTCAAATTTATATATAAAAAAAATAAAAAAATACTTATTGTTTGCCTATTTTGCTTATAGAAATGTAATTCTTGAAAAGTTTTCCCTTTTTTTTTTTAGGCATATATATATGACATTTTCCTGACTTATATCAAGTATTTTACATTTATTTAACGCTTGGTTTGGTCTGTATCGAGCATATGGGAACTAAAAAATATACGATCTATTTCTCTCTATTTTGTGTGTTTTCCATTAACAAGTTCAGAGAATATTGCTTGATTTGTACAAAATACGGCACCAAAAATATTGTGTCCCTACTTTTTATTATATATGTATGTATATATACATATATATGTATATACCCAGTTCCATTCATGATTTTTATGTTATCCATATACTTTACATTTTGCTTTTTAATTGACAAATTGTTTTCAAGGATTACTCTGCTATATAGTCGCTCTTTCTTTTGGTTCCCCACATTTGCCAACTTCACGATATAAAGTATCAGATCATTATATTATCATATCGGATTAGCATATAGATTGATGAAAAACAAAATTGGGCTTGTGCAGATTGCAAGTTTAAAATGTTTAAAATGATTTGATTCATTTTTTTTTTTTTTAAATAAGGCTTTTGCTTGTTGTTTTATTTAAATTTTCGCTAAAAACTACAATTTAAAATTAATAATCAGTATTTATTAATAATATAATTTTAACGTAATAATAATAAAAAAAAACATTTCATTCACGCACAGACACAGGCACGCACACACTCACACAACTATTTACAATCTTTGCCATTTACAACTCCGAATAGTTCTAAAATTACAATTTTCTGTTTGCTTGTTGAATATATTGGAATAAATATGTTTTATTTATTTATTTCTTTTTAACTTTTAATTTTTTAATAATGTGTCATTTCTTGATTTTTTTTTAAATTGGTAAGCCGAATTTTTCAAAAAAATTTCCATATACATACATGTATATATACAGTTGWAGCTGCTCGATGTGATTGATTAAAGTTTTGTAATTTAAAAACCTTTTTAGAGGCATAAAGAGATTTTTTCATTCATTTTGGATTTCAACTCATCTTTATCATCTGGAACTAGAACTGGAATGCGCAATCACATGGAGCGTCTGATAATAACTTATGCAGCTGCTGGTACTAAAAATAGAAGTGGGACTAAACTCAAAATGTTAAACAAAGAACCTCTGGGATAAACTTAATGTTTCTAACAAAATTTTAAACGAATATTAAGACTAACTTGATTTGTTATTCATTTAGATATTGTTAAGTTAAACACAAAGTTTTTGTATATAACATTTAGTGCTCAGCCGCACCACTATTTTTATGCCCGCAGCTGTACGTAGTGTAATGGTTGTGTAGATCTTTTCGAGTTGTCTGTACAAAAACTGTTTTGGACTATTTCGAAAATGTTCAAAAATGTTTCAACAAAAATTACTATAAAATAATAAACTTCAAGTGTTTTGTTGCAATTTTTAAATTTTTTTTTATGGAGTTTCGACACGGTTTTTCTTTTGGCTTAGAATCTAAAAATACAAACATTTCCATTCTCCAAAAGTGTTCTTGATTTTATTACTTTTCATTTAAATTTCTATTCTACCTTTATATGTTGCTCTTCGCTTTAATATATGCACTTAGTTGCGGCCACGCCCCCAAAATGTTGGTAGCCGACTTTCGATTTTCGCTATGAACTACAATTAATGACTACGAGCTACAACTGTTAAGTGTTTCGCTTTTCATTTCTGTTTTTTTCTTCGATTTTTAACAAATTTTCTATTTTATTTTTAAATTTTTTTGTGTTTATTTAATGAATTTTCTCATTTATTTTTGTGTCATTTTTAAATAGTTAT